CCCTCTTGGTTGCTGGCGATGCAGGGAGCCGTGATACCGGCTCTCAGACCCGAGCACAACCTGTGGCAACCTGCCAGCGAAGCAGGTCTGTCTTGTGTTATGGCACACGAGCGCGTCGAGCCATATTGCCAGATGAAGGGTGTTTGGCAAAGCCAGCAAAACAAAAATGTGCTACCGATGTCTCAGACTGACATTGTTCAACCATCTAATTAGGAGAACCTGGAAGCCAGCTAAGCATGGTTACAGCGATGGAAAGGTCAGGACGGCAACGGGGTGGTGCGGTTGGGAGATGCCAGCAGACTCTGCATGCTGGCAGATGTCGGCTTGCTGATAATGGCCAAGACCGGCACCGGGCAAGAGGCTGGGGAAGATACGGGTTCGGTGCCGGACATCGGGCGCTTTTCCAGAGTGGAAACGAACAACTGCACGGCAGTCCGGCCGCACATGGCCAGCGCTGGGGGGCCCTGCGGCTTTCACTGCGACGTCTTGCCTGTCAAATGAGTCAGCTACCCGAGCATCTCAGTCAACAGATGGTCGTTCCACGGAATGTACACGCTAGATTGTTCTATTTCCTGCGTGCTGCCGGCAGCCGCAATTGTTTCCCCCTTTCCTGAAACAAAGGCCATCAACGGCGGCCGGGTAAGAGGCCCCGAGTGGTCGGCTGAACATGGGGCCTTGGGGGCCAAACCCAACAACTTAACAACACATACACACCTTTCAGCATAAACCCCAAAAGGAAGAGGGTCGCATGCCTCTCCCGGGAAGGAACCTAAGAGAAGCACGCCTGGGGCAAAGAGGGTGAGGTTGGAGTGTGTGACAAGATGTGTACTGGCGCTTGCTTGTTTGGAAGGATCACAGATGGCGCACATTTATACACACGGATGGCCTGCCACTGGATCGGGTAGGTATGACAAGGTGGGAACACCAAGCTCGTCTGGTCTTCCCCGGATCCGGCTGCTGGGAGGCGCATCGCCATCGAGCTGGGCCAGTCAGGGGAGGAGTTTGCGGGCGGGAAGCGGCGAGACACCGGACGGTGATCTCGTTCGTGCTTCTCGGCCCGTCGATGACAACGGAGATGAAGGCATTCCACGAGGGCAGAGGAGCTTGATATAGAGACAGCATCCCTTACCTCGAAGCTATCGAGATTCTGTTTATCAGACCGGTGCAATATTCTGCACATTGCCATTCCCTTGTCGCATCCATACCGGTGAAGGCGCCAAGGGTGTGCTTTTGGGTGAACACTGTGTCCCTGCATCCCACGATGGTGCCATTCGTGACCACGGCCGGTTTTTGTGGCGAACCCTCTCTTACCCCCTTAATATCCGTTAACCAAAATGGAGACGGCCAGCATATGCACGCGCAAGAGACTGTTTGCTGGTGACAAATGACGCCAGACAAGCACAAGCATTCCGCACATGGCCCCAAGTGCAACGGTGCACCACGGTGTACGAATTTTGTCTCTGAACCAGGAGGTCAAGTTGGCAGCGTTCAGTCAGGCCAGGGTTCGGTCGCCCCCCATTGTCTATTTGTCCGAAACGGCCGACTTTTCAACAATTGCTTTGTGGCCGAGAACGGGGCGTTTCGAAACGTATTGGCTCTGAGGGCCTCATCAAGAGTGTTCGAGATTCGAGCTAACAACGCAGAGAGGCCTGAGCAAAACAAAGAAGGGCGTTAGTTAACGAGGGACTCGGCCGCGAGATCAGCGGCCTTGCGGATCGCCCATCGTGTGGCATCAAATCTCGGCCGGAAGACGATTGGACTTTGGCATGGAAAAGGGAAAGCCAACAGTGGGAGGAGGCACGGCACCGAGGGAGCATCTGCTGGGCGCTCGGTGCATGTGTTCGATGCCGCTGATTGGAACACACAGTCCGCAAAGTGGCTTGCGCACACGGTGCCAACTGCCCAAGAAGGCCTAGACAATTAATTGCTATGATATAGTGTAGGGCATGAGGCAACCATCGAGCCAACAGAAAGGAAAATAGACAACAAGAGAGAAAAAAGAAGCAAAAGAAAAAGTGCTCAAGAAAACACCCTCAAGGCCCCGGTTGCACCGGCGATACATTCACACAGCCACTAGCACATCGCCGTCGTCATGCTACCTCGAAGGACTGAGGGACTGAGGTGCGCTGGTGAGCGGCCCCGGATAGGTGCCCTTCCATCCCCGGAAAAGGCCCCTCTCTACTCCTCCACTTCCCCTCTCACACGGTTTGCCGCTCGCATTTCTGGAGACAGAGAAAGAAAGAGAAAGGCCTTGTTGGCGACCTTGGAAACGGCGCTGACCACGCTGCCGAAACACGCTTCTGGTCCGATGCCACCCATCAGCTATTGCTGTGCCCTTGGAGCCTCGACTGACGAGTCCTTGGGCTAGTGAGGCACACGGTGCCCTTTTCAAGCTCCGGTTCGGGAGTCAGGTATAACAGTTGGTCGCTTGTAGGTAGGGCTCCACCGGTCTTGAGTGGGGACCGTGTATCTAAAACTATCTCTACCTAATCGCGGGTGGGAGCAACGATCGACGACGTAGAGCAACTTTTGAGGTTCCGTCTAGAGACGTCTACGTAATGGTGTGGATATGGATATGGATATGGATATCGATATGGATATGGATAGCTCTCTTTGACCTACCTGATAAGATAGGTAGATTGACGCTCCCATCTCTATCTACACGAAGCAGCTGGCATATCACACCCAACCCCCAATAGACCACCATAAAATAATGACCGTCTGAAGTTGATCGCGTGCATCGTGACCTGCAGCAACAGAGAGCAACAGGAGCAACGAGCGACGTCAAAAAAAACAAAAAAAAGACTGGACCCCTCCCCTGCCGTCGGGTGGTCGGTAGCGCCCTAAAAAAAGGAGCCACAGGGTTGACTCGACTCCGCTAAGATCTTAGCGTTCCCCACTCCTCCCTTGTCGTAGCTGGGAGCTTCTCCTGCGCAACACCCGCAAAACCGCCAAAACTGCCCTGCAAGCCCTGCACTGGAGCCCTGTCCGACCGTTCTCCTTTCGTCTCAACGCCGCGCATCAAGGCCAATCCCTCCAACCCCCGTCGCGAATCCCCATCTCCATCTCATCCCAGATCAACCCACACCCACCCAGCACCCAGCACCCAGCACCTGGCACCAAGCAGCAAAAGCAGGGCCCCTCCCCGACCCGCTTTTGGCTTCTGCCCGTGGCTCGCCCATCCTCCGCACCAGAGCCATCCCTGGGTCTGGCTACATTCCACCGAGCACCATCGCATCCATTCTTCGACCACACAAGTCCAAAACACCGCCATTCACTTTACTACTTCTTAGCAGAGCAGCCTCCTCGACTCTTCCCCCGTACACTCGCAAACACGCAAACTCGCCTCACCCTCTGCCTCGTCCTGCCGACCTGCTTTACCTTGCCTAGCCTAACCTAACCTAACCTGGCCATTCCTCCTCCTCCCAAATACCTACGGTAGCTTTAACTACCTACCTACCCACCCACAGCTCCGGATACCAAGACAATCAGATAGTTTCGAGCGAGCGAGCGACCGCCCACCCACCGTCCCGTCTTCCGTACACACACATATGACCGACGACGGCCGCAACAGCACCTATTCGCTGGCCGCCGGAATCCGGTGCATAAACGACAGCACAGGCTGCCCCCGTCCCCGCGCAACCCGAGAGAGCTTGTGAGGGAGAGAGGACGTGTGTCGGCGGGCTAGAGAAGCCAATTAATAACGTGCGGTAAGTGCTTGCATGTTGCACACCCGTCTGCAACACAGTACAATTCGCCGCCAGCTCAGGTTCTCCTGTTCTTTACCTTTTGTCCTCGCCGTTCCCTTGGCCTCTCGGCTCCGGCTTCAGGTGGACAATTATACAATTACCTGAAGCTTTGCCGTGCTTGCTTGGGTGGGTGCGAGTGGGCTGTGTGTGTGGTAACCCATCATCATCAGCCTTACAACTTCTCCGACCCTGCCCCCACTTGCCCTTTTTTCCAACTGCTTCCCACTTCTGATGCCTCTTGCGCTGGCTGGCTGACTGACTGACTGACTGACTGACGCTCCTGCCTCTGAAGCTCAACCTCTCTGGTGTCTACTGCGACTTTCTTATCGAGATACCCACGGTGTATATCCATGATCTATAGACGGCACACATAGCCTTTTGCGCTGTTCTCTCGGCATCCTCTGCTGCTGCATCACTTCTACTGCATTCGAGGCTATCGGCAACAGCCCACTATCCTTTCGGACCCCCAATCGCTCGAGTGCCACGGACCTGTGTGGGCAGGCTTCCACTCTCGTTTGCGTCCCGTATAAAGGCGCCGACTTCCCCGCAGCCACCACGACGGTTCCACGACCGTCAAGCTTCCCTTATCACGGGCGGATCCTGTATTCACTGGGAATACGGCTCTTCTGCGAATCCATAAAAGCCATCTCCACCTCTCTTACCCCGAGGTTGCAATGACGTCTTCTAGCACACAGCGATCCACCAACGGCACAACCATGGCAGGCACGGTAAGTTGCTTCCCATATACGAGAGACGCATTCGCTCCTGCCTTTGAAGGATATGGCTGCCCGAATCTGGTACTGACGTTCTGACTGATCTTTTAGACTCGACCAAGCAGGTTCCCCAACCTTGCCCCAAGCTCCACAGGCAACGGCGCAAACGGTATTGAGAAGAGCTCCCAGCCCATCACAAACACATTCCCGGCGCCAAATACCTGGGGAAGCGGCACCAGCATCTGGTCCAACACCAACACCATTGGCAACAGCTTTGTGAAGAGCAGGGAGGCTGTGGGCGCCAGAGGTATGCTTTTCCAATCAGGCGCTCCGTGAGAAGGCTTAACTAACATGCGGTGGAGATTCTAACGACGGATTTGTTACCCCCTCGGGGTCCGGTGCGCTGGCATCCACATCGGAAATCGATCCATGGGGCAGGCCCGGAGGCCCTTGGAACTCAAACGATAACTCCCAGAACCGCAACGTGTCCGGTCAGACATCTCCGAACCGAACACGCTCAGAGGTTCAGCTTCATGACATGTCAGGCAGCATGCCTTATTATTCGGGGTCACAGACAATGACACAACGTGCCTTGGGTGGCTCAAAGGATGCCAAGAATGGCTTTCCCAAGTATACGTCGCAGTATGCTGACTTCACTGATGACAAGGACAACTCTTTCAGCAACCTGAATGGCGAACCTGAACAGACTGTCGGCAGGTACCCAGCTTCCCGATCTATGCAAGACCAGTCTTTCTTGGGAAATGGGCACTCGCGGGATCACCTTTCCACTTCTGGCCAGTCAGACAATGATTTGCACGGCCAGGGGGCCCCGTATGCCGACTATCCCTTCGGCACACCTCACACTTCGATTCACTCCCAACGTCCCTCTTTGAACGGGCCAACCGGGTCCTTCCATGGCCAGAACCCAAGAAGTTACGACCACAACAACATGGGGCAGCAAATTCCCGATGATGATCTCCCAGAGCGGTTGGGACGCATGGCCATTGGTTCTGGTCTCAATGGAGGCTCCAACGCTTTGGGAAATCTGCAGTCATTCGGTAACGGCTCGCAGGATTTCCAGCTTAATCCAGGCTCCCAGCCTTGGGATCATGGTCAAGGGTACCAGGCTGGACACTCGCGGGATAGCTACTCCAACAGCATCTCCCTGGACAGGCGGGGCTCTGGAGTTGATCGCAGCTCGCCTGCCGGTAGCACGTACCGTGCTGGTGCGACTGGCGTGGGGTTGAACAGCCCACGAAGCTTCACACCCGCCATCGATTCATGGTCAAGACCGGTGTCACGCGACCTTCGATCGGGGCCTGAAGCGGACCGGCGCAGCTTGTCCCATTTCCCACCGCAGTCACCCTACTACCAGAATGGGTATTACAACTTCCCACAGTACGCACCAGGCCCCTATGACGCTGTCTATGGCAGACAGCCAATGCAGTTTCCGGGATACCCACTTCCACAGTATCCATTTGCTCACAACGGCGTGCCGCCGGTTCGCCCAAGCAGTGACCGGGACCCGGCCAGGGGAGTGCGGAGCTTGAAGCTGGAGGAGTTCAAGACTGGGAACAAGTCCAGCAAGCGATTCGAGCTCAAGGACATCTATGGCTTCATTGTGGAGTTCAGTGGTGACCAGCACGGCTCTCGCTTCATCCAGAACAAGCTTGAGACGGCCAACAGTGATGACAAGAATCAGGTCTTCCATGAGATTGAGCCCAATGCCATCGTGCTGATGAAGGATCTGTTTGGCAACTATGTCATCCAAAAGTTCTTTGAGCATGGGAATCAAGCTCAGAAACAAGTGCTTGCTGCGGCCATGAAGGGCAAGGTTGTTGAACTCTCGATGCAGATGTACGCCTGCCGAGTTGTTCAGAAGGTGAGCTTCTCTGCTTTCTTGTTTTGTTTTCATGCGCTGACTAGCAATAGGCTCTTTCGCACGTGCTCGTTGAGCAACAGGCTGAGTTGGTCAAGGAACTCGAGCCCGAGATTCTCACAATCGTGAAGGACCAGAACGGAAACCACGTCGTCCAGAAGATCATTCAGACAGTGCCTCGGCAACACATTGGTTTCATTTTCGATTGCTTCAGGGGACGTGTCAGCGAGCTGTCGTCGCATGCGTATGGGTGCCGTGTGATCCAGCGTGCTCTTGAGCATGGAAACGAGGCAGACAAGCAGTCCATCATGAAGGAGCTGCACAGCTGCGCCCAGATGCTGATCATGGACCAGTACGGCAACTATGTGACGCAGCATGTCATCACGGATGGCTCTCCCGATGACCGTTCCAAGATGGTTGCCCTCGTCATGTCTCAGCTGCCCATCTTCTCCAAGCACAAGTTCGCCTCCAACGTCGTGGAGAAGTGCATCAAGCATGGTACGGCTGACCAACAGCGCGACATCAGGGACCGCTTCATGTCTCGAGGAGATGATGGCAACTCTTTCTTGGTATCCTTGACCAAGGACCAGTTCGGCAACTACGTCCTCCGTAAGTCCCTCGGAATATCTTGTGATACTCAGAAAGCTAACCCCAGTTAGAAACCCTCCTCAGTGAGCTGCAAGGCCAGGATAGGGATGTCCTGGTCAATGAGGTGAGACCGCTTCTTGCATCCATCAAGAAGATGTGCACGGGCAAGCAAATTGCCGGAGTTGATCGCTTGCACAACGCCATCACCAGCTACACACCTTCGTCGACGGCCCCGACTTCTCCTGGCCTTCACGTCGACGTGAGCTCGGCGGTGCCGACTCCAAACCTCACGATGGGCCCGAACAGCCCTTCAAGCAGTCCGCCAAGCACTAGCGAGAGTGCCGTCGAGGAGACGATTGGTCAGACGGATGCCAAACCTGCCACGACAGACGCGACGGTCAACATTCAGGACCAGGCCGACGAGGTCTAACTTTTCTCTACCGGTGGCATAGTGCCATGTCTATCCCCAAGCTTCTCTTCGCCTTGCCTTCCTTTCACCGATATTGCGATTTAATCTTCGGCCCTTTTAGGCCCTACGCTTTTCCGTTGAGATTTTGGTCCTTTACCCACATGGACAGGCACTTTACTCATTACATTGCACACCTCGGGCGCCTCGATTACTCCGCACTCTTAATTCTTCACCAAAACATGTTTTGGTTCTGTATATCTGGAAAGCGCGCCTTGGATTGCCACCACGGGTTCCATCTGCTCAAATGGGTTTCATCTCTGCCTTTTGATCTATTGGCGAATGGGGGCTTTCTTTTCATCGTTCCATACCCGAGCATACCGCATACACTCACCACCTTTATACGGCAATTACGGTCAGTCTTCCCGAAACACACAAACAACACATTTACAGGGAATAGACATGGACAAAAGGATACCCAACATGACGTTTTTCTTTTTCTTTTGCTTTCCTCGTACTTTACGTACCTAGGTTTCGGAATGGGAAGTGGGATGCGACGCCGACTTTTGTGTCGTGGGCTTGTGGTTATGGGTTATGGGGCTAGGGCTTGCTTTTCTCATTTGGAGGGGCCATAGTAGTAACACCCAACACCTGATGTTTGTCAGAGTGGCTGGGTGTCGTTGATGGCTGGTTAGCTTCCAAATGATTTTTGTTATTACTTTGCTGTGGTTTTTTTTCTCTCTTTCAGATGTGTTTTTATTTTTCTTTCTTTGCTATTTAAAACCTTTCCCCTCATGGTCGTTGAGGGGAAAACAAATATCGGGGACAACCGAACCGGGACATATCGTACGAACACACACACTGACAGCTTACATGGATGGGTTGATGAGATGTTTTTGATTTCATTTGTCTTGTGTTTGAAAGCGTGGAGTTTATTTGCTTTTTATGCGTTTTTGAAACCAAAGTTTATTTACACTCCTTTTTCTGTGTTTAAAATCATGCGTTGAACTTGTTGTTGTTGCTGTGGCAGGGGTGGTGGTCTTGTTTATGGCGATGTGGTTTGTGTAATTTTCCTCCCATCTCTTTTTCTTGTCTTTACCACAAAGGGGGTTTTCTCGTTGATAAATACAACAACAACAACACGAACATCAACAAAATAAATAATGGCGCGAATTGTACTTTTTTGTTGTTGAGGCGAAAAGGGAGTTATAGCGAAGGAGGAGCTATGGGTTACTTGGGCGAACGGCAATACATAAAATATTGGGATGGGATGGGATGGGATCTAAGGGGTAACAACAAGGGGTTTTATTTTTGGGGTGGAAGATTTGGAGGAGGAGGAAGGGGGATGGGTGGTTTTGATGGTTGGTTGGGGTGGGTGGTATGGTGTTCTATGGATGCTGGGTTGGTGGTGGTGGTGGTGGTGGTTTACCTGCTACACATTTTTACCTACCTACCTACTTATCCTTACCTTATACCACGCGGTATCTTTTTGTTTTGTTTTTTTCGCTGGGCACATATTACCCCTTTACCTTATCTACAATACCTATCTACCTTGTATTCCCACCGACTTTGACTTATCATCACATCTGCTACTACCTCTAACTGGCTTGCCCTTCTTAATTACCCATTGGTTGTTTATTTTTCCTTGTGCCCTTTGCCATTGATGC